CCTGGCCTGTTTGGAAATCACCACTCAGCCACACGCTTCCCCCTGCAAAAACCCCCTACCTTTAGCCATGCTAGCATTCTCAGATGCCAGTAAGTCCCGTTATGGCCTTGTCATTCAGCGCATGGGAAAGGATGACACTTGTTACGTACAAGCCAATCCTGGCTCTGTCCAGTTGGGGGAGCTCCTGGCCTTGTTAAAAAATCTTCCAAGTCTGCCAGACTGAGTCGCTCAATATATTCTCTGACAGCCAGTATGCGGTTCAGGCCCTCAGATGTCTTCCCTTTGCTTGAGTAAAAGGCCATAAAGATCCCATCACTAGAATGATGAGAGCTCTTCAGATTATCTTAGATAACAGACAATGGCCCTGGCACATCTCCCACATAAGATCACACACCAAGCTCCCCGGGATCTTGGCAAAGGGAAATGACAAAGTAGATAAACTTATTATGTCTGTAGAGATTCCTCTACTAGAACAAGCCAGAGCCTTACACCAACAATTTCACCTTTCTCCTCACAGTCTGCATCACCTTCTACCTGACCTACCCATCTCTCAATGCAAACATCTTCTCTTTCTACTTAAATGCCTTGTTCTTCATTCCCGCAGTCAGAAAAAATTCAATCACTCGGTGTATCAGGCCCTCATAGCAATACACGAAGAATATTTCAACCCGCCCTATGCAGCCCGACAGACTTGGCTTGCACAAATGTACGAGGCCTACAGATAATTCCCCACCTCGACTGATCCCCCAGGACAATACCCCTTGGAGGGCTGGTAGTCAATGATGGGTAAGATCCTGTTGGGCTGAATCATCCTAAGCCAGGACATGGACGTGTATGCCCATGCTCCAGTGACGGGTAAGGTTCATGCCTGAATAGGACAACCTAAGACAGGCACAGTCCATGATCCTGGGGTCATCCCGAGGTGAAGCTGCCTACAGGCTCTCGCTGGACAGTCATTTTTAAAGAAAAAGGGTGGAAATGTAGCAGGAGGCCTCCAAAGATGGTGAAGACTCAAAGCCCTGGGATTCAGTGAGAATTCACTTCTTGGTCCGCAAATAGCCCACCAAAAGGACCCCACCATGAGCCCAGTGACTGCTGACAGACTGTGTGGTGTGGACCAATCAGAAAACAATGAGCTGACTAAAGGGACTTGGGGGTGGAGAAAGGGGAAATATAAGGCTTGCCCCCTCCTGCATTAAACAAGCCTGCAGCACCTCGCCTAGTGCTTGCTTCTACCTGGCTCCCAGAGTCTGTGTGTTGTGACTCCACACCTCTTGCCCCCCTAATCGGCAGGGGACCCGATCCAGATTAGGGTCTTCACAGCTGGCCTGAGGAGAACCTGCAACAAGCAGTGGTGGCAAATTTATAAAACATTTCTGTCCTTGTTTCTATTTTGTGCTACTTTTATCATCAATGGCCTAAAGTAGAAAGAGTTCTGGAAAGGACTATTCATAACTTTCTCTGTCTGTTATATGCATGGGAAGAAAGTTTTCTCCATTTAATATATACCTAGGGGCAGGAAAGTGATGTGAGACAGTGATGCTATGTCCTTACCTACACCTATGTGAGGCACGCACTCAAAAAGCGTCCAACTGTGGTCATCCACATGATGGTTCTTCAGAATCAATAGCTGGCAAACATCTCGGGCTGTGACATCGCTGGGCACTTCTAAAGCCCTGCTGGTCTCATCCTCACTGTAGACTTTGATCACCTGTGCAAGGAGAAACAAGAAAAAGAGTTCATATACTCTTGCTTGATGTATTGACTACTTTTCTCATTGCTGCAACAAAATCAAAACAAAAGAAACTTAAGGAAGGGCTTGTTTGGACTCAGTTTCAGGGGATGCAGCTCACCATGGAAGGAAGTCATGGCAGCAGGAGCTTGAAGTGACTGCTCACATTACACCCACAGTTAGGAAGCAGAGAAAGATGGATATTCATGCTCAGCTCACTTTCTACCATAAATTCAATCCAGGACCCAGGCCATGAAATAGTGCCACCCGTGTTTACATGGATCTTACCACCCCAATTAACACAACTTAAATAATCGCTCACAGGCATGACCCAAAAATTGTTTCCGTGGTGATTCTAAGTGTCTGAGGTATTCAGCATGAAGTCATGAAGTAAACATAGCTGATAACATGAAGCAATATAATACATCAATCATATCACCTGGTTGCCCAGGCTTTGCTTATGGTGAGAACAGCTCAAAACTACTTGAACAACACTTGCCAATTGAACAATATTAATAATAGTCACATTGAACATCAGAGCTCTGAACTTGCTCATCCTCGGTATTTTCTACTTTCTAGAAATATTTTATTTATTATTTTTATTTTATGTGTATGTGTGTATTGCCTGCATGTAGGTAGTAAGTGAATCCATGTGCAATGCCCTCGGAGAACAGAAGAGGGTGTCAGATCCCCTGGAACTGGAGTTATGGACAGTTGTTAGCTGCCATGTGGGTGCTGGGATTCGAACCCAGGTCTTCTGCAAGAACAATCAGTGTTCTTAACTGCTGAGCTATCTCTCCAGCCCCAGTATCTTCTACTTTACATCTTTGAGCTATACCTTCCCATTCCTTCCTCCCCAATCTGGCCCCTGATGACAACTATTTTACTCTGAATAGCTATATAATTGACATTTTTCTCTCATAAATCCACATATAGGCAACATTATGTAGTGTTTCTCCTCTGTCTGGCTTTTTAACTTAGAAAAATGTCCTCCAGGTTAAGACTTGTGGCAAATGGGAATTTTTTTAAGCAGGATCTTACTCTGCAGCCTGCGCTGGCCTCAAACTCACTGTTTAGCACAGGCTGGCCTCAAATTTGAAGCAATCCTCCTGCCTCGGAGTTTCAAATGCTGAGGTTACGTGCATAAGATACCACCTTCAGTTTAGGATCTCCTCATATGTAACAGTTAATAATTTTCCATTGTAACAGTACAGACACACATGTTGCTCATATATTTGTCCATCAGAGGAGGGAGAAGAGTTTTTACCATATCATGGATGTCATTAATAATTTTGAAATGAGCATGAAACTAACAAATCTCTTTAAGAGGTAATGATTTTTATTCCTTCGGTGTATGCCCACTAGGTAATATGGTATTTTGATTTTTAAGTTCTGCTTTTAATATTTTACCATTTTTATTTTATGCATATGAGTGTATTGCGTGCATGTATGTAAGTGCACCCATATCAGGAAATGCCTGTGGGTTTCAGAATAGGGCATTAGATCTCCTGGAACTGGAGTTAGGACAGTAGTTAGCTGTCATGTGGGTACTGGGTATTCGAACCTGGGACCTCTGAAAGAGTAACCAGTCCTCTTAATCACTGAGCCGTCTCTCCAGTTCCTGGTTTTTAATTTCTTTAGAGATTTCTATGCCGTTTTCTGTAAGGTGTACCTATATATCCTTCTTCCCATTACCAGAACACAAGCATTGACTTTCCTCTATGCCTCTAGTATGACATCTTCTTGTCTTTGGGAAGTCTATTTTGCAGTGGTTTTGACTTGAATTTCCCTCATGTTTAGTGATGTTCAGCACCTTTTCATACATCTTCTGGATGACTGTGTTCCTTGAAGAAATACATGCTTAGTGCTCATTTTTAAATGGGATTGTTTTTCCTTCTATCAGGCTGGAAGAGATCTTCACAAGTTTTAGATATTTGCCTTATCAGATATATGATTTTCATAGTCATATAGTCAATCTATAGGCAGATTTTCAGTAAAACATTCTACTAACATTTCGTTGTTGTAAGTTGGTGCACATGGGGGAGGGGCTAAAGATATATAATCTGAGAGTGCCAACACCACGAAGTACCTCTCTCGCCATTTTGCATGGCTGTCGGGGAGTCACAGGATCTATATTTGAGTGTGGACTTTTTTCAGCACAGCCACAAATGGGGGGAGCACCCATTCTTCTGTAAATAAACCCCCACCCTGTGCTCTGTTAACAAGTCCAATAAACTTCTTAGGATTGAAAAAAAAAAGTACAGAGCTAATGAAAACCTTCATTATTCCACCAAAGACCAAAGTTGACCCCATGTTGACAAATTCTTTGATCTTTGATTTCTTATTCCTATTTCTTTGATTCTTATTCCCTGCTTAAACTTCATTGCATATATATTTTTATGTAACCTACTTCAAGTTATTTCTGGAAAAATATGTTAAAAATTGTCTCTCTTTGGAATTAAAAAAAAAATAAAGTAAAAGAAAAACAAACAAAAAACCCAGCGGAGATATCTATTCACTAACCATATTGCAGGCTTTCTTTCTGGTTGGGGTGGGATGGAGATGTAGACCAGAGCTGCTGCTGTTCACAAAGACAGTGAACATGGTTAGATGGAGCCCCTAAGGAAGAAGTGACATGACCACATGCCTAAAGTTTGGCTCCACCAAATTCCTATAGTGAAGCCATGATCCCAGAGCGGTGGTATTATCTGTGGTGGTAGCATTGTGACGTTGTGGAGCTCTCCCGAATTCAATTAAGGCTTTACAAAATGCGTTACTCTGTGGCCCTAGAAAAGCTCGTCAAACACTTCAAGATGTTCTTCGCTCCACCCACAGGTGATGCTTGACCTTGAACTCATATCAGTGTTCCACTCATAATATTTCCTTTGGAAAATTCTTACTTATATTTGTTCCCAATTCAACAAGTCTATCCTGACTGTCCAAGGCTTCACAATGGGCCTTCTTTATGATTTTATTTTGTAATTATCTGTTTGCATGCCCTTCTCCCTACCTGTGCTAGCAAGTTCCTCCAAGAAAAAAAATCTCTAGTTATTTATTATTTATGCTTATATAGGAGACCTAGGCTAGGTGATGCTAGTTTAATAAAGACCTACTAGTGAATCACTTTGTACAAAGTGCAAAGCTTACCAGTGTTCTATACACAATAAATATTTAAGATATATTTGTACCATTCAATTTGAAACTATCTTCCTCCATGAAGAATTTAATTACCAAAATTTCATTGTTTGGGAAATTTAAATCCTTCTCAATGAAAATATACATGCAATTTTTCTTCATAAAAAAATCCAGGGGCTGAAGAGATTGTACAGTGGTTAAAAACAATTGCTGTTCTTCCAGAGGACCTGAGTTTGAGTCTCAGCACCTACATGGTGGCTAACAACCATCCATAACTTCAGTTCCAGGAGATCTGATGCCATCTTCTGGCCTATTCAGGGCAATGTACTTACGTGGTACACTTACATACATGCAGGCAAAACACCCATACACATATAATAAAAATAATAAAATATTTTTTTAAAATCCAAAGTAAGAACTGATTCAACATGGCAGCCCTGAGCCCCAGTGTCACTGAGGTGGCCATTGAGCACCTGCATGTACACTGTCAACGTCGTCATGATCATCTCTGAACTTTTCCTTCCAATCATCTATTTTGTGGTGGTTGTTGTTAAAACATGTAATTTCCAATGTCACAATTAATGTGGAGTCTCTAGTTAGGCTGTTGTTCATAAATGTGTGCCTTCTACATGTGAGTCTGAGCTAGACAGCTGGTAGCAATTTAGGAGATGATTTCCTGTGTCCATGAAACTGAACCAAGCTCCTTCCAAAAGCCAAGTGAAGATCACTCCTGGGAGGACAAAGCATGGTCCATGTAGGTAACGGGTCTGGAGCAATGATCCATGCAGATAATGGGTCTGGAGAAGGATAGATGGGCGCTGGAAAGGCCCCTTTGCCTCCTGACTACCCCCATGTGCTTTCTTAGAGGAAACTCTCATTACCTGGTATCCAAAAGCCTGCTTCTTATTTTGTATGTCAATCTTTTATTTCAGAGAAGCTAAGAAAATAAAAAGGCTAACAATGCTCTGAAGTTAAGATAGAGGGCAGGCGCACAGTGGGAAGTGAGGCTGGGAAATCAAAAGTGTAGCCACACAACCAGGAAATGCCACTGTTTTGTGTAGCCTCTTTCGTTGTAAATTTGAAAAAAATAAATTACCAAGAACTGAGACACACAAAGCGCCTCATTATTCTGTGTATTAATTGTATCTCTCACTAACATGTAATAACAGAAAACGAAAATAGTAAAGCAAAGTCCACAGAAATCTTCCCTGAACTAGACCCCAAAAGACAGCATAAGTTTATGGAATAAGCATGTTATTAGTTTAAAGAATAACACATACTGAGCAGAAAGAATACTTCTGTTTGAAGTTCATTTCAAATTCTGATTTTGTAAAAATCCTATTTAATGCTGATATTTTCCAAAATATTCTACATATATGTGTGTATATATGGATGTGTATATGTGTGTGTGCATATGTGTGTATGTGACTGTATATGTGTATATATGTGGGTGGGTGGGTACATGTGTGTGTTTGAGTATTTGTGTGGGTGAGTATAGGTGTCTAGGTATATCTGTGTATGTGTGGGGATGAGGATAGGGGTATGTGAATGTGTATATGTGTATGCATATGTTTATGTGTATGCGTGTATGTGTGTGTGTGTGTGTGTGTGTGTGTGTGTGTGTGGCAAAACTTTGCCTAGGATAATACTCCTCAGGAACACATCCCTATCATCTCTGAGATTTACTTGATAATTACAAAAAAAATTATGGCAGCAGTACAGCAACACTGTTGAGAACTCTGTTCTGTTTCTATTTATCTCCCTTAAATATGTGAGGACAGAGAAAATAATCTAAGCGTGAACTCTCAGGCAGAGTGGAATAGGCCTCTCTCTAAAAGTCTTAC